GTAAAATTAAGTAGCTGTATTTCAATAAATCAAACAGTATTTTAATTTGGCATAAATTCTGTACAGACAGAAAGAAACTTTCAGTCCATAAACAAGTATTTTCTCACCTCGTCCATAGAAGAAGTTTGTCTGCACTGTTTTTTACAGCCTTTATCATTACGCATTCCGACAGCCGCCCATCAAACGAGCGGGACCCCTATAAATAAGCTACAGGGCTCCAGATTGCCCGGGTATAAATGAAAGGGTGCAGGAAATTAGGGTTTTTTAGTACGGAACTTGGTCTCGTGCTGTGCTCTCGCCTGTGCTATAAACCATTTTTAACGCCGTGAAAATGCTTTATGTTCAGCGAGCAACGTTGTATAGAGCGATCTTTTCGCTTTTTATTAAATTTCCAACGCTCTTTAATGTAAAAAATATATAATAAGCAATTTTTAGATGAACAACTTTTGTGAGGACCTATAAAAATAACAATATTAAAATTAGTACGACTTACTTATTTCTTTATTTTAATTAAAAAAATATCCTTGTTACAAATTTTCAAAAGGTGTTTCCGTGATAAGTAACATAAACTTATATAGATATGTCGCGAATGGAGACTAATTGAAAAATATCTCAGTGAAGACGATGCTCAGAAACATAAAGTTAGGTACCAAGTCGACACGCGTCGTCTCGGAACTTGCAGCGATGCATTAATTAATTCATTATTAAGAGCAGGCAAGTGTGTGCGTTTATCTCGCAAGTTAATGGAAAACTGTCTGTCACACATCCGCAGTGCTCATACTTCAAGCGCATTAGGACTGAGATATCTTAACAGACTGAATTTCATTAAGCTAGAGTGTTCATAAACTTTTCTGTTAAAGTAATTAAGGCTGAGGTCATAAAAGTTACCTTGACTTCGTCGCTCCAAACTGAAAGTAGTACATTTCGTAGTAGAATGTTTTTGATTGGGAGAAGGTAAGGAGGGCACATAGTGTTGGCAGTCAGTGTTTATTGGTTCGTTAGGAGCAAAGCGTCGGGATATATTATGGACGTAAAAAAGGATACTTAGTGTAACATCACTACGTCTCTCCGTCTCCTACATAAGTAATAATAAATATTTCTTTATTATTTAGATATTTTTATTTATACATACATTACTTTATGTAAATATGTCAATTACAGAGCAAATTCAAATACAAATTCAAAATATTTTATTCAGTATTAAATTATTAAAATTTTTACTGAACGTCATGAGTCTACTACCAATTCGAAAAGAAGCCTTAGACCTGAGAAGAACTGGCACGAGCTCAGACGGCGTTCGCCTTTTTGATAAAATATCATCTCAGGCTACTTTAATTATTAATTTTTAGTATAACTAATTTATACACTGATATGCCTATTATGCTTTCATGTGCCCTAGTTATGAAAAAATATAAATATAGAGTTGTTACAAAACTAACTATTGTTGGTTCCACCGTTCTCAAGAGTTATCAATAGTGTTTATCAGCCTCGCTGCTTTCTGACGCATGTCAACTTGTTCTTACCGTAACATTCAATAAAAAGTTCTTGCTACAATTCTTTGAAATTTTGAATAAAACTCTGAAAATAAATCTTATATGATCCTACAAAAGGTCGTAAATAATAATGGATTCCCAAAAGAAGAAATAAAATTGTACCGATGTAGGTGTTTTTCCATAAATAGCTTCAATCACTTCAAACTTTATCTCTTGACGATATAAGCTTTCCACCCTAAAATAAATAATCCTCGAAAATTAAACCCTCTTAAGTACGTATTACATCACTTCAAAGTGATTATTTTTTTAACAATACCCCCAGTTTATTAGACCTAACTTAAATGAAACAAAGATAATTTAAGTAATCACAACTTTCGATAAACATGCATTGTCCATTCGACCCCCGAGTAATTTAACTTCAACAAGTTTTAGGGAACGGGTCAGCGGGACTATTTCTCATTATTAGGCCATGTTGCAAAGCCAAAATCTTACCCACATAAAGGTGAAGTTTAGTATAAACAAATCTACATTTGTATGTATATGTATGTATGTTTTATATAATATAGGAATATATTTAGAGCAATATGTCTCAAATCAAAATAGGGAGTAAAAAGAAAATGACTCAATATGTGTGTAATTTTAAAATAACAGAGACGGTCAGTGAAAATGAAATAAGTATAAAAATAATATAAATATAAAATATAGTTTTATATTTAGGTATTTAAAATATTTTATATTTTTTATCGTATATAAGTAATTTCATTCAGAACGCCTGAAACTGTAAAGCTATGAAATATAACAATACACACCAATAGGTATCTCTAAACCTTTTTAACCTATATATACATACAATAAAATTCTAACTGGGTCGATCTGTACCTACATTAATTTTTTTTTTGAAAAATCTTATTGAAATATTAATGATGAAATATTATGGATACACAGGCCGAATCTATAGTTTTTAGAATTTTTGTCTGTCTGTCTGTTTTTATGGTAACGCATCATGAGAAAACCACTAGAATTTTTTTGATAAAATTTAGTATGATGATAGCTGGTTATCCAGGTCAAAATATAGGATACTTTTTACTGCGGGAAAATATCTCATCTCAACAATATGTGTGTAATTTTAAAATAACAGAGACGGTCAGTGAAAATGAAATAAGTATAAAAATTAAAAATAATATAAATATATTATATATATGTAATAGAATTTTATATTAGGTATTTATAATAATTTATATTTTTTATCATATGCTAGTATTGTAAATTTCATTCAGAACGCCTAATACTGTAAAATTATGTAATATAACACACACCAATAGGTATCTCTAAAGCTAAAGCTTTTTAATCTATGTATGCATACAATAAAATTCTGAGTCAAATCTTTATCTACATTGAATATTTTTTTTGGAAAATCTTATTGAATGATGAAAAATTATTCATACAGACGTCGAATCTATAGTTTTTAAATTTTTTGTCTAACTGTATGATAACGCATCACGAGAAAACCACTGGACAAATTTTGATGAAATTTGGTATGATGATAGCTGGTTATCCGGGTCAACATAAAGGATACATATTACTGCTGAAAAATATCTCATCTCTGAGAAATCTATACTAAACGTGTATAAGTATGACATTACGGGACTAAACGTGTCTACTCGTAATTGGTAAAATATTTTGTTCCCGAGGCGACGTTTCGATTGTGTTGCACCAGCCCTGGTCATAGTCATTTTAATAAAACCAAAAAACATTCAATTCCCTAAATATACACCTACTATATTAGATACATAACCTATAAAAAGTAAGTTAATAATTTAAAAACTTTGCAAATACAATTTAATTTTTGTATCGTCAATAATATGATACCTATAAAGCAGAGCTTAATACGTTCAAAATAGCGCAAAAGCAACAGCTACTATAAAATTTTATAAGCATTATGGCTATCATACCGATACAAGATATTATAAATCTAAAGGCATCTTCCGACATGTCAGATGCAATAACAATATGCCGGATAGCTATCAGGGTTCAAACCCAATTTCCCTCACTACATATTACATTATCTGTCAAAACGTGTACAAACAAAGGCGTGGAGGGAAACGGACAAGGAATTTACTCGAAACATTGTGAAAATGAAAATTCTTTACTCGACGTATTTTTACTATATAACGCTGCAAGCGTAAAGTAAATAAAAGACACATTTTACTTAAACTTAGGTAAGTAATATATTAAATAATGATTTCAAAATTAAATGATAAACATTTAAGACGTAATATCATCTTGGTTACACATCAAACAGTATATATGCAGGATCGATTTTTGTGAAGCTTACTGACGATGAATGTCATGAGTCAAGTGCCATCATTTCGTTAATATAGGTCAAATACAGCATTTTTCTTACGGTGGAAATCGATCCTGCTTTTGCTTTGTATGGGCTGGCACCGATTTCGAAAGTATTTGATTAGGTATGTATTTAATAGGTAAGCTTTAATTACTTAGCCAAAGCACACCGACTTCGAAAATATTTGATTAGGTATGTATAGTAAATGAAAACTACCAATCAGTTATTTTTTATTTTTTAGTGCTTTTGTTTGAAGTCGGTTTTTATTTTTTTGTTAAAAAGTTTTTATTTTTCCCTTTTTAGTGTAGACAGTAGTAGCATAGTAAGGAATTTAACGTGTTAGGCTTGTCAAATCAAACAAAATAAGCCCAAACTCAAAGTATCTACTATTAGCCGTTGAAGAGTTCCACCTATCCACCTTCTGACCTTGCCATCAGATCAGGTCAACAACACCGAACCACTGTACTATCAACGGAAATAGAAATACTTGCAAAGTTTCAAGTCAATATGACAATTAGAAGTAGGTTAAATTCATCATTAGTTGTTTTTCCACCCTTAGGGGTGGTATTTTTTTTTTAAATTTAAATGGGACCAATCTGGAAGTATACCCTTTCAAACAAAACCAAAATTGTCCAAATCGGTTAATAAATGACGGAGTTCTGAGGTAACAAACATAAAAAAAAAAACATACAGTCGAATTGAGAACCTCCTCCTTTTTGAAGTCGGTTGAAAAGATAGCGAAAATATCATCTAAAACGTTAAGTGAGCTTAAAAGCTATTGAAGTAGATTAAATTCGTTCCCCTTTTTAGATGCTAGAAATTAAGCTTGTTTATTTTGTGTAGTGGAATGTCGAAAATAAAGAAGTATATAGTTGAAGTTTATGTATAAAACGGCCTGAAATGTTAATAAATATGTATGTATATTTTTTCAATTCACCAATACATACAGTTTTTAAAATATTAGATATAAAATTTAACAATTCATCCCAATATAATACAATCCCAATTTAATACAACACGTATAATGTATATAATAATCCAACAACCGGATAAAACCATTAAAAAGCTTTCAAAACTTAAACAAGTAATTTATCCCGATACTTTTGGTCATAACTTTCCTTCCAGAAATCCATTTCTCGCTCGAGTATAAGCAAGAGATATTAACATTGTTCAATTTCCACATCGAAGTCTTGCTCCGTATTATATCTATCATTCTCATGAAGTTCGCGAAACAGGGACTGCGGGCCATCCATTACAGACAGTCTGTGCACTTGAGAGCCAATCGGAAATTCAATTTCCGATATGATACGATCCGCTAAGAGATTGCTGAAATACGATAGCTGTTCACCGATACAGTCTTAACTTAAACGATATACACTCAACTAAACGAAACTAGGTTACGAATGGCATATTTGTTGTAAACCCTTTCGAGTACCTACGGAAATTGGCAGGAGATTTAATGTTCAATGTAAGCTACTTTCAAATAGTTTAAACTCAATTGTTATTGCCAAAGCGAAATTGATGGTGAACTCAGATTAGTGAACTTTTTTAATACACTAAAGAAATATAAGGTTTTTGATTTTTTCTTAAGTTTAACCTATTACTGACGAGATGATCTAGAAATATATGCCTATATGTAAATCCTCTACAAACAAACTAACATTTCATTTTTATGAAAGATGAAAAATTTTGCTCTTATTTTGCATATTTGACCTACACAAAAACTGCACTTGTTATACATACATATGTATTTGAATTTTTATAACATTATTTCTTAGTAGAATCTGGACAATGATAATAAAACTACTAAAGAAGTTTAAAATATAATGTTTTCATATACTATAAATAATTAAAAATCTACATATTCCACCCTTGTTCTTTGCACCATAAATTACTTTTATGATAACTCAGAATCACCATCGGATTCGCTTTCATAGCGAAGTCTTACAACGTTTGACAATTTTCCTAAATATATGGAAGAAGCGCTTTCTTTTTTCTGCTTTCTCGACGGTCCCGCTTTAGGAGGCCTCCCTGGCCTTTTCCTTACCGACATGGCATTTTTATTGAGTCTTAATTCTGTTGTTTGAATTGGTCGTGAAATGTTCAACTTACTTTTATTTATAAATTTATTATTAGCATTGTTTTGTTCACCTTCTCGAATTTCTATACCTTTTGATTGGCGATTATTTTTAAATATGTTATTATTTTTTAATGTTTGTTGCGTTTCTTCAGTACTGTTAGGCATTATATTGGTTAAAACAGCTTTCGTTCTTTGTCTGAAAATATTTATAGTTACATAACTACAAGTGTGCAGCTTGACCAAAGTGTTCAAAAGAAAACATTTTATTATTTCTAATTTACCTAATGTCGTCAGCAGAATTGAATTCTATATTAGTTAATTCATATACATTTTCGGATACTATGGTCGATTCATTAAATATACTTTTAGAATTATACGGTTTACTATTACTTTCATTTTGCATTTTGTGATTCAATATTTAGTTCTTAAAAGCAATAATTTTGCCAAAAATATAAATAATCCGAAAAACATACAAGTGTCATGAATGACGAAATATTGACATCAGAACTGTCAGAAAAAGATTAGTATTTTTAAATAGATAAAAAAACTATAATATCGAAGACTACTCGTAGTTATATAATTTTTCATCAAGTGCCGCTTTCACTCTTTTAAAATAATTTAGTTTATACATGGTGGTTTCTACACATAGTGACGCCTACGAAACTAATGAAGGAGTTCAAGTTCATAGCCAACGCTATTCCAATGTAAATAATTCAGACATCTTCACAAGTCGCTAGATGAGGCGGCGTATATTTCCTACCGGGTTACGACACGCGAGGGAGCAATGCTTAATAAGCTTTATAATTTAAAACAAACACCAAAGACTTATTAGCCGAGACGTTTCAAAATTAGGCTGTATTCTTAATCTTAATTTTTCAAGTCTACTTTTACTTTGTATAAGTAGGTACCTACTGGAAAAATTAAAAAAATTGCACAATTATATTTTGACATAGGTACCTAAAAGGTACAACAATTTGAAGCTCACTAATTATTCCAGCCATAGAATATGGACCATTTTTAAAATTATTCATTAAAAAAAGAACTAAAAAAATTAGATTTAAGAAAAGAAATTAGAACTAAAAAAAAACGAAAAATGGCACCGAAGTTTTTGCTATGCCTTGCAAATTATTGTATAATTTTGTGAGTAGATTCCGTCTGTAACCACTATATAATAACATTTGAAACACTAAAATATTAGTGCCTCCCGCTACCATGAAAAAAAGTTGTAAAGCATTCAAAACATCGGGAACCAAAAATCTAAATAAATCCGCGATTTAAAATGTCATATATTCGCATAAATCTAAGAAAGTTTGATTATGAAAATTTACAATTGGCGAAGATTTTGCGTAACAACCCCAAAAAATACAGATGATTTGTGTACCTCCTTTGAAGTCCGTAAAAAAATGAAGACTCTACTGAACCTTTTTTATACACTTTAATATATAAAATTTATATTTATATTTTCATTACAACTTTCCTGCCTTATTAAATAGTAGCTAATATATAACGATCATCAAGTTCTGACCTTAGCAAGTCCTGAAAGCCCAATAACACTGTCCAGCGGCACCCTAAGCTATTCTCGTAATGGAATTAGCTGTTTATCCGGACCGTGCTTTCTTTAGTGCCAATATTGAAGATATAAATGTACTAGAATAGGTCAATTTGCATATTGCATTGGAGAATAGTTTTTACATGTTATTTAAAGTTTACTTTTTAAACTTATATAATTGTTTAAGTAATAAAAAATGTGTTCTCATCGTTAAATGTCATTTTTTTAAAGGATCCATATATGATGTACAATGTACATATATGTATATACTATTATTATCTACGACAACCCTTCATAAGTTACAGGTTTAATTCCGACACAATATATATGTGTATTCATTTATACGAGTACCGATGTAGTATGTAGTGTACAATATATACTCGTATATACATATGTATATTGTATACAGTCTCAGCACGTACGTGTTCATTAAACTCTATTACGCTACGAATTACGATACAGCGTACAGCTTCAAGTGAAAATTACTAAGTATTTATATTTAAACCACACGTATTTTATACTAAAAATAAATGACCAGATAATTGTTATCAATACACAATATCTCACGAAAATTATACTCCAGTTTTCCCATTTCAATTAAACACAAAAACTTAGTATATCACGAAATTTTAGAGCCATGTAGACGAAGTCGGTAGCGCTCATTATACGCGTCAGTGGGATTTATGTGTCGCCTTACTTCTGTATCGGTTGCCCTTTGCTGATAATTTACGATGCCCGCACTTTCAGTACTCGCTTAACGTTGATGGAAGGAAGTAATTATTGGAACTACTATGCTAGGTATATAATTTTGTTTAGTCTAGTGGAATATTTGCGTATTACTAGTGTTTGTCTGTCGTTTCTTGTGTAATTTACCTTTTTTATATAATTTTTCTAGTCCCGATGACCTTAGTCAAATGATAGACTAACCTTCCTCAATAAATGGGCTATAAAAAAGTACATGAAAAGTACAGGAAGAATTTTTCAAATCGGTCTGGTAGTAGTGGTAGATGTTCTAAAAAACAAACTCTTTTTTTTTATTCGAAAAGATTAGATATTTAAAACATTGTGAAAACTACAGTAAGGTAGTATAACTGCCCAAAAATTATTGAGATATCACATTCATATATACGTAACATATCATCATTACAAATATGTATTAAAATGATTTAAGTACAGTTTTTTTTTCTTAACTACATTTTTTTCTCGAAGCTGTACAATATTATTTAAAAAAAAAATTCAGGAAGCATAAATTGTATCATTTTTCCATAGTCTTATTTAGCTACTTATAAAAAAAAAGCAAACAACCCAAGAAACAATTTGTTTCACATTCATAGACAATGGTCGAAACATTATCTTTAGCTAGCGGACTCAGATGGTCGAGTAAATGGACCCGCGGCGCCTTCAACGGATTCATGTATTTTAAAGATTAAAATGGAACAAATACGAGAGCTTATTCTTGCGATTTAAAAAGATCTCTCTATGCAAAGGTCTGACTTCAGCGAGGAATATCAAACAGAATTTTGCTTATATCCCTATATGTTCATATAAAAAGCAAATATTGAAGCGAGCAAACAGCATATTTTCCAGTAAAAAGACTAATCGCCGATTTTATTAACCAAATTGTAGCAATTATAGATACATACATAACAAGCTTAATTTGATAATAATTGAGCATGTTAACATTGACATTTACGCGATAAAATGATAGTAAATTCCTTTTAAAATATGTATTTATTATCTAATTATTATAAATGGTTAGCTAGTGGTAGCCCAGTGGTAACGCGCTTGAGAAACCAAGAAAGAAAGGGAAGTGAACCGAGTTCAAATCCCGCGTCACGCACGTCTAACATTTTCATGTGTAAATCATTTCCAACATGTTTACCACTTGTCGTACGGTAAAGGAAACATCACGAGACAACCTGCATGTCTGAGAGAACCTAGCAAGTTTTCGAAAGACATGTGAAGTCCGCCAATCCGTACTTGGCCAGCGTGGTGGACTATGGCCTGATACCCCTTGTATGGAAAGTAGACCTGATCCCCCTCGTATCGATAGAAGAATGTAATGGAGAATAAAGTAGTTGAATATATTTTTACATAATATTAAATAGCCTTAGTGGCGGATATTAATTACTTACAAAAAAACTAAACAGGTATAAGATAAGGCAAGACGTAATTCTACAATTCAATGATAGAATATTAAAAACCATTGAAATAACAAGTTTAACCGAATTATGTCATAGAATCATAATATGATCCCAAATATTATTTTTTTAATTTCTAATCTTCAATGATATACTATGTATGTACATACATACATGTATATGTAATGTAAAATAGTATCTTGCCTAAGCTCCTTAAGCAGAGCAGCTATTATAGAGAACTTTCTTTCAAGAAGTAATAATTGTGTGATCCTCAAATATAAAACTTAGCTTATGTAATTTGAAACGAAAATTAATATCACGCCAGTAGAAAATCATGGATTTGAAATAAGTTTCAAATATTCAAGATTCCCAACGAAGTCTTAAGTTTAAATCCTCGTAATAGTCTCGGAGAAATCTTGAGAGGAATATCTGAGTTACTCAGATTCCATCCTATATTTACTTGGAGACAGATAAAAGCGTTCATTCGGGGGTTTAGTGGGGGTTGTTTGAGAACCGCGAAAGAGAGTGCATTGAGAATATCACCGATATTCTTTTCTTGAATTCAACGTGTCTTTTAAATTTTTTACAATTCATCCCGATAATATTCAAATTTGCACTCTATAGACCGAATATTTTGTGGAGGCGAATTGCTGTATATAATTACTATTGTATAGTCGCGTAATACAATGAGGACTTAATCATCATCGTATTTGATTTTCTTTAGAAAATATAGTTTAAAATTGCCCAATGACCATTTATAACCTATGACAGAACAGATGGTTCTTATGAAATCAAATAGACGAAATAAAAATTAAATAAAAAATCTGCTTTTGTATCTAAATAACTAAAACATGCCTCACTTAATCTAATTGAATTAGCTTATGTTTCTAGCAAAGTTATAGCCGCACTCGAACATCAGTAAGGCTGTCCAATAACGAACAACCATCAAGTCAATTGAAATGGTAACTCGTATCCATAACAGTCAATGTTTATATATGTTCTAACAAATTATATGACACTATGATTTCCGTTCCTGAAATATTTATACAGTATAATTATATAACTATTAGTTTGTTTGTTTGAACTCGCTAATCTCAGGAACTACTAATGTGATTTGAAAAATTCTTTTTGCATTAGATAGCACGTTTATAGAGGAAGGCTATAAACTATATATCATATAATATATTATCTATCTATTCCATACTAACTGTCAAAATGCATGTAGAACCCGAGCGAAGCGAAGGTGAGTCGCTCGTGTATTATAATTTAGAATAAGCACGTTTTTTTCGTATCCTGTTGATTTATAAAGGAGAAAAAATATTTTTTTGTTACTTTACTTAGTAATGATCGTAGTGAAATTTACTATGGAATATGCATGGCGAGTTACAGGAACATATTTGTACAAAAACATTTTTTATTAAATAGTATTGTAATATTAATAGTGTTTGTTGTATTAGTTTATTTTATAATTTTATAAGACATATACAAACTTTATGATGTTACTATAAATTAGAGGAAAGGAGTGATAAAGGATATATTAAACAGTAGAACGTATAGGATAAAGAGTAATGATAAGTTTTTTATAAGAAATAGGTTTTATATCAAACCTTGTAATTATGATTCAGAACCTGCAAAAAGGTAACTAAAAAGATGAAAACAAGTTCATGATGGAATATAGTATTATGCAGTCGGAGACATAAATAAAATGCGTTT